TGAAATAAAACACCCAAGCAAGGTTTGATGGCAATTCCAACATTAAGTTAAGGAGAAGCTACAGGAGAACGTATCAGCCTAAATTCAGGATGTCAAAACCATTTCAATTTCACTTCCCAGTTTCACGCACTCCTGGAGCTCTCAGCATTGGCCTCACCCTTGGCAGGGCCCTGGAAATGATGCCTGGCACGCTTGGCAGGTGACAGAAGTGCCACCTTTACTTACACTTGATCAGCTTGACCACCTCCAAATGGTTCGAGTGTGTTACCAGAGTCCCGTTCACCTGGCAGGGAGCAGAGAAAATTCAGTGTTTGGCTCCTGGCTTCCAAGCAATTCCACACATTCCAGAAGAACAGCAGCATTTTCTTCTCCCCCATCTCCATTACTGCCTCTTTCAAGACATTACCAGATAAATGATTTATCCTTCCAACAGTTTATCTCAGTGAGCAGAGCTCTGCAAAAGGAAAACTGTGCACGCACCAGAAGAACTCAAGCAGGCAGACAAACAAAAAAAGGGCAATCCATCTCTGCCTGGGCAGGAAAACAACAGGGTAGCTAATTTAATTCATTAATTTCAATGCCTGCTTGCAATCCCAGCTCCATCTGTGTCAGGAGCTGCTGCAGCATTTTGCAGCAATAGTTTACAGAGTCTTTTAAGTCACTGACTTGATTTCTTACTTGCTTGGGACTAAACAAGAACATGGATGTGGGAGCAGTTAGGGGAGAAAACAACAATTCAGGCAGGCTGTTTATTTACAGATCATTATTAACAACTCTGCTTTCCTTCTCTTCCCTGCCATTTCTGCTTTTATTGTATTTGTGATATTTGAGCCTGGCAGGATGCAGAATTTGTCCATAAAATTCTGAAATGAGGATCTGGAGGAGAGTCAGAACACTGGAGCTTAAACCATTCCTAATGCAAACACATCAATGTTTTGGGGTTTTTTTTCAGAAAAAGAGCTCATTTAAGACAAAGGATTCATTTCTCTCCCCATTTCAAAGTCCTTACCTTGATAATTCTATCACCTGTCTGCACTCCAGCCCGCATGGCTGCTCCATCTGGAGAGACAAGAAATCACTCAGTTCCCGTTTCAGTACAATCATTTAGAGCAAAAATGGTTTTATGACTTCTGTAAAACATCCAAAATACTCCTGCACTCAGCCAAGCTTCCTCTCTCAGTAAAATCTCTGGGTCCAGAGCACTTTTGCTTTCATCTGGCACTGGATACACCAGGACATGATCCCACCACGTCCCACAGAGCCATTTCCTCCCTGGGATGCTCCAAAGCCACCAGATCCCAGATGAACCAGGCTGGAAAAGACCTCTGAGATCACCACAGAATGACCAAAGAGGTCAGCTCCAAAGCCACCAGATCCCAGATGAACCAGGCCAGAAAAGACCTCTGAGATCACCAAGTCCACCCTGTGACCTGACACCTCCTCATCACCTAAACCATGGCACCAGTGCCACGTCCAGGCTTGTTTTAATCACATCCAAGGACGGTGACTCCATCCCATCCCTGGGCAGGTGATTCCAGTGCCCAATCCCTCTTCCAGTGAAGAATTTTCCCCTGATATCCAACCTAAACTTCCCTTGGCACAGCTTAGGGCTGTGTCCTCTCATTCCCTCAGTGGCTGAAGATTGAGAGGAATAAACTCACTGCTCAATCCTGGCCTTGCACTTCCCTTCCCGAGCTGCAGCAGGAATCTGGGAGTTTTCTGCTCCAGCTCATAGTCATTTCCAGGAGTTTGGGAGTTTTCTGCTCCAGCTCAGAGCCATTTCCAGGATGTCCTGGCAGGTTGCACATCCCTTCCCAAGCTGCAGCAGGAGTTTGGGAGCTTTCTGCTGCAGCTCAGAGCCATTTTCAGGATATTCTGGCAGGTTTGGAGGCTGCTCTCACCTTCCTTGACACTGAAAGCAGTGCCAGATCCCTTGCACATCCCTTCCCAAACTGCAGCCACCCCACCTGGCAGGAACCTGGGAGTTTTCTGCTGCAGCTCAGAGCTATTTCCAGGAGTTTGGGAGTTTTCTGCTCCAGCTCAGAGCCATTTTCAGGATATCCTGGCAGGTTTGGGGGCTGCTCTCACCTTCCTTGACACTGAAAGGAGCACCACATCCTTTGCACATCCCTTCCCAAGCTGCAGCCACCCCAACTGGAGTGTTTGGGAGTTTTCTGCTCCAGCTCAGAGCTATTTCCAGGATGTCCTGGCAGGTTGCACATCCCTTCCCAAGCTGCAGCAGGAGTTTGGGAGTTTTCTGCTCCAGCTCAGAGCCATTTCCAGGAGGTCCTGGCAGGTTTGGGGGCTGCTCTCACCTTCCTTGACACTGAAAGGAGTGCCACATCCCTCCCCAAACTGCAGCCACTCCACCTGGCAGGAATTTGGGAGTTTTCTGCTGCAGCTCAGAGCCATTTCCAGGATGTCCTGGCAGGTTTGGAGGCTGCTCTCACCTTCCTTGACATTGAAAGCAGTGCCAGATCCTTTGCACATCCCTTCCCAAACTGCAGCCACCCCACCTGGCATGAATCTGGGAGTTTTCTGCTGCAGCTCAGAGCCATTTCCAGGAACCTGGGAGTTTTCTGCTGCAGCTCAGAGCTATTTCCAGGAACCTGGGAGTTTTCTGCTGCAGCTCAGAGCCATTTCCAGGAGGTCCTGGCAGGTTTGGGGGCTGCTCTCACCTTCCTTGACAGACTGCACGAAGACGGGGTTGTCCCCGCTGACCGTCAGCCCGAAGCCGTTCTCATCCCGCTGGATCACCACACACCTCTGCACCAGGCCTGGGGACACGGGGGCACCACAGGGAGGGCAACACACAGAGACACAAGCCAGGCATCAGTCCAAAACCTTATCCTCCCAGATAATCACACAGAGCTCAAAGGAACGGGGACAACACGGCACAGAGGAGAGACAGGAACAGGGCGGCAGTCCAGAAATGGAGAGGGATGTCAAGACAGGTCAAGCTTATTGCTCCAGCTACACAAAACAGAGATGCAGACAGCTCTGGCACATCAGAAACAACCTGAGGGAAAAGCAGCTTGTAAAGAAGAGCAGTAGTACCCACACCAATGAGCAGGATTTCTTTTGTTTGCATTAATAGTTCAGGAAAACCTCACAGGTTCTGCAGGCTGCTCTAAAACAGAAGCACAAATCCCTCAGAGTAATATGAGATGGGTTGGGCTAAAACAGATTTATTGATCAGGAAAATTCTCACATTTCTCAGCCAAAATCTCCTCCTGGGGCACCTTCTGCTCCAGGTGAAATGTTGCACAGAGCCAGAACAGCAGAGGTGAGTAAGTACAAGCCACATTTAACTGTCCTGAGCAGGATTTCTGAAATAAAGACCAGTCCAGGGCCAAAATCCCAGGAGATGAGTTTGAATGTGCCCCTCCTTTAATCTGCTGTGAGACATCAAAGACAACTTGTTTTGTTTCCTGGTATACTCAGCATAACGTGAACACAAACGCAGAGATAAATTCATTGAGTAGGGGCAGCATTTGGGCCAGGTGGAATGCTGGGGATGTCTTTTGTTCCCCTGGAAATGGAACAAGGGAAAGACAAAGCAGTCTGGGCATATTCCTAGGAGCAGCTGCAGAAATCCTCCCACAATGGAGCCCTCATCCTGAAAAGTGACTTCAGGAACTCTGGAAATGTTTTCCAGGGTGATTTCCATCACCTTTATTTCTAACAGCTTGCTTTGCTTTTCTATTTCTAAAGGCACAGCAGGCAAAATTCCTGCACTGGCACCTGGAGCAAGGAATCAGAGCTGTCCCAAACCAGATTCCAGAAGTGCAGCAGTTTTGTTTGGTGTGCAGGGAACAGGGGGAAGTGGGGAGATGCTCTCCCAGCCAGACTGGCTTTTCTGGAATGAGCTTTAAGGTAGGAATGGGAGCAGAGCAGGGAGTGATCCCCTGGCTCTCGCTGCTCCCAAACCTCCTCTCACTCCATGGAAATGAGCAGCCCCAAGAGCCAACGCTGCCTGCCCAGCCAGTCCTGCCCTCCTCCAGCGTGGCACCACTGACAATGGGTGTGGGAGAAGTGGAAAAAAATATTCCAGGGCTTCTGCAGCGCCATCACATCCCAGGAATTGCCCTCCTGCCAACAAAGCAGGGAGAGCTGCTGGGGAGGGGATGGGAAGGAAAATCAGGAAAATCCCCCCACCTTTCACCCCTGTGCACAGGGAGCAGAGGAAGGAGCCTCTCCCTCTGCACCTCCCCTGCTTTTACATGACCAAAGCTGCTTGAAGTCTCACTTCCCAAGAATGCTGCCCGGGGCTGGGGTGTGGGAATTGGTGCTGTTGGAGAGGAGCAGCTCCTGAGCAAGGCACCAAACCCAGCTTTTCACTCACAAGGACTGGCCTTGGTTAAAGGGTAGCTAATTTAATGTAATTCATTTCAATGTCTGAAACTAAGTCTGCTCTGCCACTGGGTTTCTTTTTCTCCAGGAGAAATAATCCTTGGATTTACTGATGAGCTTCCTCTGATGCCAAAGCAGTGGCCACACCACATAAACTGACCTGGTAGAACTGACCTGGCAGAGGATAACTAGATTTAATTCAAGTTTATTCAAGTTAAACTCTTCAGTCCACAAGCTTCAGTTTCACCCAAGACCACCTCGTAAATTCAGAATGGAGAAACAACTGGAATTAGGACAACTCGAGCTGAAATTAGTCTGTAATTGGTTTTTCCTGTACTTGTTTTCTTCAGATAAGGGACACTTAACCCTTCTCCTAATCCAATATAAAAGGCTGGAATGAGGTGGAGGAGATAGCACACTTGACAGAGACACACTTTAGAGTGATTTTAATGAAGTTATCTGGAAGTTTTCTGGAGATAACACAGTGACCTGCAGAACTAGATCGGCTCTGATAGCACTCCCTGCCTGAAGCAACCTTCAAGTGCTTTTACTCTGCTCATTTTGAAATATCCCACCAGGATATCTCACGTTTTCCAGCTGAAACTCAGTGAGAATTACAAAGTCATCAGATTTCATCATTGATAGTAGTCAAAATAAAATTAATTATCTTATTCCCATTTTTGTTTTCCTTAACAGTATCCTTATGTTATGAAGTGAAGAGACATCACTTAACTATGCTTCAAAATCAGTCTCTGTTTGTGTCTGGAGTGGATTCCTAAAATTCTGGAGGAAAAATCATCAATTTTAATGTTTTCTGTCCTCATGGAGATGTAAATTCCCCCTAACTCACTCCAGCCAGGAGGACAACAAAGCAGCCAAAGCCGTGCTGGCGTTGAAGAGGTTAAAATGAAAAGCGAAAGCAGAGAGAAAAGCTGCAAGGAAAGCCGAGAGGAGCTTCAGTAGGTGGCACTCGTCCCTCTCCCTTCCCCAGGAGCTCCTTGGGACGGTGGAAGGACAAAGTCCGCGCTTCTCAAGGTCACTGACACCCCAGGGCCAAAATAATCGTCCCAAACAGCCTGGCCAGGCACATCTGGGCTGCCCAACAGCTTTTTCTCCTTTTTCTTTTTTCTCTTCCCTACATCCTATTGGGAAGTTACTGAACAATACAGGAATTTCTTTAGCAACAAACAGAGCAGGGGGTTCACTCTAAAAACCTGACAGAGAGGATGGAGAGACCAGGATGGACCAGGCTGGGGGCAAGATGGGCCACTGGAGGCTGTCCCTGCCCATGGAATGGTTGGAAAAAAATAATTTTTAAGGATTTTTCCACCTCAAACCAGCCTGGGA